GGATCTTCAGTGGGGGTACAATAAGTGTCCAATAACGCTGCAGACCAATCCCCCTGATTGAATATCCCAAAGAAAGCGCTCTTGAATGAATGAAGAATGAAGGGGCTATTCACAAGTTTATTGTTGTCCCAAAAAGCTATTTGCAGTTTTAATTTTCAAGTAGAATGATGCCGTTGAGACTGGCATAGCTAGAAATATTGTCTCAGATACCAAGATCATATCCAGCCATGTCGAATTGTTTCTAAATGTGCAAAGCAAATTGTTAGCAAATTTTTCTCTGAAAAATGGTGTTTGCAACAGCATCCTAAGTCCATCTGTTCAGGACAAGGACAATTGCAGAAAAACCACGATCGGAAGATATAGAATTTCATCGATGGTAAATTTCATTTTATTGTGTCTACCCGATATTCGAAAATTTCTTCTCTCTCTCGGTTCTTCTCTCCACTTTCCTTGGGGGGAAGGTCACCATGGTGCATCGAGGTATAATTTTCGATCACCTCGGGAAACAAAGTCGAATTTGAATGGAAATTTTCACGTCGCCTCTATTTTCCGCGAAATTGACTATTATCAAATAACACGTTATATCATCGTCGAAAACAGAGCGCGGACGATGCACCACTACCTAACCTAACCTGCGCGAGCAAGGGGAGAAATGTATCGAGCGCGATCACCAAGTCTGCATGTGAATTTCTGCACAATTTCCATGGCTTAGCTAGAAACCTGCATTGTGATTTTGCATCGATTTCCATCCAACCGTTTGAATCCTCATTCGTTTTTTTTTTTTTTTGCTTTGAAACGATAGAATATTATGACGTGTATAGTGGTTTTCGTAAGATGTATAAAAAGATTTTTACACAATATTGAGAAATATAGCGTGAAAAAGATTAAAAGTAAATATTACGAGAAGAAAATAAGTTAATTGTTTAATATAAATTTTTGAATAAATTTTCGAATAAATTTTCGATAAAATCTTTTTATACTTTAAATATTGACTTGAAATAATATATATTTCGTAATAATGGAAAATAATGGAAAAAGTAATTTTTAGGATAAAAGTACTATTTATGAAAAAAATTCTAATGAACATAAGTTGATTGAAAATCAATATTTCTGAAATTAAAAGCAATTTTTTATCATTATAGCGATTGGTTATAAAAAATTATATATCTTAGAAAAAATGTTTTTTTTCTCTTATCATAGCAAATTGAAAGAATAAATATATATATATTTGGAACATTTCAAATGCTAAAGCAGTAAACAACTAATATTGCTGTATATTTATTCAAATATTCATAAATCTTAGCATAAATAGATGAGTTGTAATAAAATGTTTTTTATCAATATTATTTAAAATTCTTGAAAAATAGAAAAAAGAAATTTTTATTACATCATATTTCCAAATCTTTTTTTTTCATAGTTAATATTATATAAATTTTTCATATTGCATTCTATTTAATCCAATCTTTTTAATATTAATCACTCTTTACAAATAAATTTGACAATTAAAATTGATATTTCAAACGTCTAGAATTCTTTTACGTTAAAATCATCAATCTTTAACCATGGATCAAAATCATTCCGGTAAACGTTTGTAACCTAATTGTTTGTAACAGGAATGATTGAGAAACAAAATTCAGATTCTGTATACGAAACACAGGAAACGCATTTCTGGAATGCTTAATGATGATGAACGAGCATAGTTATTATCATGGGCTAGTTCGTGGCTTAACGACGGGCAAAAAACCATTCGTTCAAATTAAGAAGTTGATTCGGATTTAATGATGTTTTGTTTAGCTAGTCGGATG